CGTTGTGTATACGTACAATGTACATAAACAAAATATTACGCTTTTTATTCCACAAAGGAGTAGACACTCGTGTTTCGTGTAATTCCCACATGAAAGTCATATGCCTTGAGTTAAATCAATTCGATATTTTGAATCATTTGATACAATACCAATAACTGGTAATAAATAAAATGTTTTATACATTTTCCAAGTTTGAATACGGGTTCTGTAGTTTTGTTTTCTTTTTAGATTTTCGTCATTTGTTTCTCTTTTTCTTAACTGGCGACTATTCGACCACGGAGAAAACCAGTCAGTGGGAACGCAGTGTTTTATTATTTTATTTGTTTGTCAATCACGTAAATATTTAATAATAAATACTATTAAATCAAGGCTAATATATAGACTAGATTGAAAATGATGATTGCATTGCCTAGTCACAGTTAGAACATAAATAGGAAACATTAAAATCGTTGATATAATTCTGAATAGATTTGTGTAGAATGCAGACGCCGCTCGAGTAAATGTCGTGTGCAACATTAAAGTTGCTAATTGCAAACATCATTAGATAGTGGTTTTGATATTACTAAATATTTAGGAATATAATTTTAAGCGATTGAAAACGACAGAGATTCGCCTAGGTACAATGATTACAACTACTCGTTGCAAATAGTTCTATTACTAGATATATTCTGCTCATTGATTTTAGTTATTATGTTTAAACACAGTACACTCATAATTGTCTAGTGATACGTACTTTATACAATATGATGAATATCGTTCTATTGAAATTGAAGTTCTTATATATTTTCAGGCAAATTACTTCACTGTTAATATTATCCTCAAATAAATGAATTTTACGTTCAAACCAGCTGTTGAAGCAAAACAATTTGTTTCGAATTTACTTCAAAGAAAAGTTATGACGCCTTTAAAAGTATATAAAAAGTAAGGTTTAGTAAGATGTCTTCATTTACGACAATATCGATAAAATGGTATAAGCAGTACAGCAGTAACCATTGGGTCGAATTGTAAACGAATGTTTATCGTTTTAGAAGTTCGTACCAAGAAAAAGTCTTGTAATTGAATAGAAAAACTTTTTCTTTGTTTTCTATAAATAGCCTTACGTTAATACGTTAATTTTGGTCTACCTTGTTGATTGTTTTAAAATCTGTGCCGCAGAGGATCTTGAGTTAGATTATTATTTTTTATTTTATTTTCAGCCATGATTGTCCCACTGCAGGGCAAAGGCCTCCCTATCCTCATTCCACTCCTCTCTATGTAAAGCTTTTTGCGGGCAATCCTTGTTATACATATCTAATTCGTCTCGCCATCTCCTTTTGGGCCTGCCGCGACGTCTACAGACGTTGAGTGGGCTCCACTCAGTAGTAAGTTTTACCCACTGCTCGTCTGACATGCGACAGACATGACCAGATTATTAGGTACTGAAAAGTGTTATGCAGGGTTAATTTTTTTTTAAATCCGTATAGTACAATAAAGTTTTATGTTTTACATGGTAAAGAGGCGGAGAGCAGTAGATTACACTCCAATTAGCTGTCAGATATTCATGACAAAACTACAAAGTATATATACCTATACCATAACTTATGTAGGTTATATCTAAAATGAACATAGTGCAAGTATACCTGCAACGAATAAAAGGTATAATATTATATTTTTACTCTTTCCTGTAACATTTAACGTAAAATGATATATTGTTATCTCATTCAACTCACTGGTTTGGCTGTGTTGTTTCGATAACAACATTAATGTGTACTGAATTTTTCTACTTTGACCTCGGAAAGAGGAAAATATTTCTTATAATGCTTTTACATAGAGTTTTTATTTCAATGATCACCGTTGCGTTGTGTAGTCTATAATGTAATAAAGAATTATTATATTGGGTAGCAAGTTGTACTAAATAATTTTGTGCCAGATCGCTGGATAGCCTGTAGCTAAAGCGTAGACACAATACTATATTACTATGTCAAGTCATAACATAACATCACACCTTTTATCCCCGAAGGGGTAGGCAGAGGTGTACATTTCGGCACTTAATGCCACTTTTCACTATTTATGTTATGAGTCCCTTGTTGGGTGGTGAGCCTATTGCCATACACCGGGCACAATTCCAGACTCCGTGCTACTACTGAAACCGACCCGGGAATCGAACCCGACACCCCTTGCCCGGCAGTCGCACTTGCGATCACTCGGCCAACGAGGCAGACACAATACTATGTCAAGTCAATTAATATATTATAGCAGTTCAGCAAGCCTGACATGTATTCCGTATGTGTATTAATTGAAATTAGTATGGAGATCTGCTAATATTCACCAGGAACAATTATGGACTACAGTTACTTATTAAGAATTTTACAAATATAACAATGTGGTAAAACTCCACAAGTCCACATATTGCTTTGATCCATTGGAGACTTAAAAACGAAATCTCTTACTCGTCGCATTTGACCAGGACGTCACGACAAGGAAGTTTTTGGGCAACATTTATTTTTATTGAAAACCAATTCTGTCGTTACTAACTAATACTTCTGACGTCATGTTCTTATACATTAAGAACTATATAGATTGATGACAATAGTTGTTTACGCCAGCGAACCAATATCGGATGTACGGACAGAACATTGCATGTACATTTTATATTAATACATGTCTGTGTTTACAACAGCGACGACATCTCAAGGCGTTCTGTATTTGTTATTTATTTTTATATATACTTCTTTTAGTAGCCCTTTCCTGATGATTTTAAATGAGTATTGTGAGTTTAAGTCAGTACTTAGTACTACAATATTAGCCTATTAAATATTGTGGATGTTACTATGCACCTACATAAGTTCCAAAAAGAAATATCCATCTGACTTACATACACGTACAAAAATCTAAAAAAGGAAACATCATAGTACTTTTTTTTTGAGAGGGCAAAATCATCCAATGGCTTCCCCCGCCCGGGTGAGACGAAAGGGAGTGTCAGACTCTTACTGACTAAAAACCACCCTGTTCCTACTCCTGCACTTCGAGCCGGAGCCCCGGTAACCCGTTAAGTCTTTCGCGGCTCCAAAACATCGTACTTGTCTTTATTATTTTTAAATCTATGACATATATTTACAAATTTTGTTGTAAAGCTTTAGAATTTGATTCATGGTCTTCTAGGCAATTCTCCTATTGTTTTTGTAATATAGACAATTTAAAAACACTAGTTGACGACCTCATTCCTTCGTTGTTAGTTCTATTTTTAATTCAGGTCAATATTAATGATACATTATTATGAGATTTGGATGTGGCTGGACTTTATACAACTTGTAATATGTGTTGTTACATGTATGTATTAAGAAATTCAATCCTTTTGTAATGAAGAAAATATAGATAGGTACTTGGATATTAATTTTACTAAGTTTGCCGGGTTAGCCCGGCAAACTTCGTATCGCTTCTAATTTTTTCCCACCTTTTAAACCTACCCTGGACTTCCATAAGTTAGCCAAATCAGTTCAGCCGTTCTAGAGTTTTAGCGTGTCTAACGAACGGATATTCATTTTTATAAATATAGATACCCTAAAGAAAGGGATTATAGAAGAAAAACATAGGTATCATTTTGGTCTTTAAATAACTAGATGATTTTGTTGGGAAGATGTGGTTCACGTACACACGGTAAATAATTTTCCTATATAATATTTGATCCTTTAAATAACAGGCACTAAAAGTTTACTCCTAAACTTCAATAATTACAGCAGTAGTGTTGAGTTTGTTAGGGGCGGCTAACTGAGCACTTTCCAATCCAGGCTACAGTGTGAAATTCAGTCTAGTTTTAATTGGTGCGTTGTTCGTTGAGTATAAACTTTACTGGAATAGCGTTATTTGAATTTCTATTACGTACTCGCACTAAGGGCCTATTAGCACCCCTGTACATTTTTAATTTCTAAAAAAAAATCTTTTCCTCAAAGGGTGTGTTTTGATAGTAGTTTCGATCTGTGTGAAGCACCTCCTTGATAAAGTGAGGTTTTTAAACTGTAATAAACCTAAACAGTAGGTTAAACGTAAATATCTCCGCCACGTGTAAAACATGAAGATTTTGGAATACTCATTTATGCAGACTGCAAGGGCTACTTGATGATGACGTTAAAGCCATCTTTTCAATAAGGAAACTCAATGTTTTGTTTGAAGTCTTGTGCAATGAATTGACAATTGTCGATTGATTATTGGCGCCACGTGCACCCAAGAAGTGCCAAAGACTTATCGACGGAGATGACAGACATACAATTATCAACGTATCTATAATTAATTCAAAACAAATGTAATTAACAGACTATTTAGTTTGATTTTTCTGGTTTTGCTAGATTATTCTGGATGCTACTCTTACAGTTCATTAGCATACACGTTGGACGTTGGAATGTCACCCACTTACCCAGTTGGATGTGTTCGAAATCTCACAAGTTCCAACTAACATACATATAATTGAGAAAATTATCTAAATTGATATCATTTACTTGCTCACATTTACGTGCTCATTATATTTATGTTGCTTTAATTACGTTTGTGGATAAAAATTACAAGTTTTCAATGAAATAACTGCTGTGGACACTTTAAATGAACCGAGACATTCCACCACGCCGTATGTGGAGCACAAAATAAAATTAAAGTCACTTTATGTAACGTAGAATAGAGCTTTCAATTCTTTACTTTATGACTTTATCGGAAAACAGTATAGCAGGCCTGTAGCCGCTCTTTCGATTATCTTTTGTTCTTTTTATAGAATAAATTCAGTGTACGACAAAAGCTCATAAGACAGGTTGTTTTAATGATAATTTCGATATTACAATGTCGGTGAAAACTGTTCGTGAAAACGCACATGGCATCAGTCGGTCAGATATTTACGAGGCATCCGAGTAGTTCAAATTGGAGCTTACATCTGATGTTATTTCGGTGTTGGTGTCAAAACGACACTGCTCTAAAAATGTCTGGACTGAAGGCGTGTGCTGGTGAGCGGGCGCAGAGTTTGCAGGAGCTTGGGGCGGCGGGGCGCGGGGGGCGGGGTGGTGCGCCTACGCGCTGCCCGCCGCACCTTGCCGCCCGCCTCGCACCAGTCAGCAGCTGTGGCTCGTGTTGGCTGAACCATCTATAGGGCCATCCTCTTTTTCTTTGCCTTAGGTGAGTTTTAGTGAAAGTTTAAATATTTTTACTAACAAAACGATAATCTGACGGAAGATTAATGAAGTGAATTTAACGGTCAGTGAAGTGATATATCAACGTCGTGGTAAATCGGAACACTGCAGCGTGATGCATCGTTCTCGAGATCGAGTGTGTGGACCGACAAGATTTCCGTGTATCAATATGTCACCCTCATAAGTGACCGTCTGTAATATTTGATATCGAATGTTCTAAGTTCTGTTATGACGTCAATGATAAGGATGTTAAGTGTCGTCATCGTTTACTGAACGTGCTTGACATAGACATTGATATGAGTAATGAGTGTAGCGTGCACCCTTATTGATGGACAGTTGGTTTTTCATTTCCTGGGTCATGTCGTCGGTGATAGGATATCCGTTGCATACTAAAACAAATATCCTGACATACAATATTTTTATGATTGGTTAACATTTCAATTATAAATTACATATTTACATTATCCACATATATTTTTTTCTTAGTTGATATTCAAAACAAAAAATCTTTTTCGTGATTGAAAGAAAACTTAGATAATAAATAATCGCATCGCATCGCAACGTCCAGGTTACTTTCGGTTACAGACAGTTTTTTTTACTCAAACAGATTGAGTAATTTTATTATTGTTTTATATGAGTTTTATTATATGAGATCAAAGAATATCAGTTTACGTGCAACGTCACAAACATCAGTCTGTTTTGCATAACGGCCGAAACCCGAGTAAGCAAAGCTGAACGTTCGCGCAACCAAATTAGGATGCGGTGTATGCGAGCCAACCTATTTCAGTCGCCCGCGCACCACCCGAACTTAGCCGACTATACACGAGCGCGCCCGAACCTAATTGTGGAATTTTCATTACGTTGGCAACAGTTATTACACAGATTCTTTTACGATCTTCATCGTAACCATTTTCATGATCTAATTTTAGGTTTTTTTTTAGTTTTTCGGAAGCGAACTTGAACTAAGTAAGGCGTTTGTTCATTAAATATATTAAGTACGTATTTAAACACTACAAATTCTTGGGAAATGCAATAAATTGTTATCTCCATATAGTGTAGTGAAAATAGGAAAATGTTGGGTGGGAAGCCGGATTTCAAGTATCAAATGTCGGTATTTACACGTCGATGACGTCTTGGCTGCAGCCCAAATAGTTTCAAATAACGATCTTGTTTCTCACGACTATGGCCAAATACGTATTATTTATTATCATTTACTAAGTATTTTGTTATTCTGATGACAGATTAACATTATATTGTACCTTGATATACTGGGTATTTGTACTAAATGCCAAAGACAACATAAACTAATTAACCGTTAATTTGTGAGTCCTTTGCCAATATCATCGGATAGTTAATTAATTACAGATTTTGTCCTTGCTCAATAATATGATAGATATTGTAAAAATATTTTCTTTTATTAACACAGACTAGCTAGATGTTAATGACAATAATACGATAAACTAGTTGATATAGTCCTGCATCATAAATTAGATTTCTGAAGGATATCTTTTCTTTCCAGGACTCCTAGACCAACAAAACAATCACAATGGCGGATGATGAAGTAAGGTAAGTCTTTGAACACAGAATCAAGCACAATCTTCAAAAATATTACAAAAACAATTAAACTTTTTACACAAAATGTTTATAAGGTGGAATACAAACTCCTTCCATTACTTCAAAAAAAAAATTGAATTCAAAAGTCGAATCACTTTTCAGATCAAGCCATTAATTAAGATGATTCATATTTCGAATCGAATCTACAATGGATTTGATGCACACATTTTTTCTTTTAAAAATAAATATGAAATGATAAAGTTTCTTATACCTTTAGTTATACGTCGTTAAAAACAAATTAATGTTTGAGTAAGAAAATTATGTTTTTTCTAGGATTGTAATCTAACATATTTCGTGTATCTTTCTTCTGTTTCATTGTTACTTTCCGTGTGCCCTGGGATTGTTCTGCGACCTTCAAAAATTGTTGCGGCTCTCCATTCAACGCATAGTATTGAATGCTATGTCTCCTCGAGACTCAGGTAATTGTTTGAGCTTTTCTAACAACATTATGACATAAAGACACACAACACATATACAGACATTCCTATAATATTCAATATTACTGAATATTATGTACACGTCACACACAATCCACTCCTAATTGGCTCAATAAATCAAAAAAAAAAAACATTGGTAAAATTTTGACAGATAATGGAATATTTTTAAAATGTATGACAGATGACATGTTACAATACTTGTCAATATGTCTAATTATTTCACTTTGTTTCTCATCTTATGTTACAGCTATAGGTATCTTTAATTATGCAAAGATTTTGTAAGTCGATGAAATAAATGTGATAATTATGTCGACTCTATGTAACTAATTACGCAAACGATAATATTTTAATAAATAGTAACAATTAGCTTTACTATAATTTGTCTATATGTTTTAACGCACAATTCTTAGAAATAGCACCAAATACACTTTTGTTTTTTTAGTTCCAAGCACTATTTTGTTACTACGCACTTAGCTTTTACAAACACTTTTAATTATAAAAGAAAAAAAAAACTCTTCAACTCTAAAAAATGTAACCAGCTTACTCATTAAAACACACAACCGCTTGCAATTTAAAAAAAGAACACTATTTATAGAAAGAACTCTTTTGTTGCTCCTCTAATTAAAAAAAATTTTTGCTAAACACTTATACTGAAGAAAAAATGGCAGAAAAATGAAAGGCCAGTTGAAAACATTGTCGCAATAATGTGGAGCAACAAAAAAAAAAAAACAAAACCACTAGACCCTGAATTGCCAAAAAATCCTTTAAAGCTTTCAATGAGGTACAACTATACATACTTAATATTTAAAAAATAATGATGAGCCAAGCCGTTAATAACGACTATGTAACTCATTACTGAGCCCGCACTACCTCACTACTCAAACTGCACACTTTGATTGCATTTGCACAAAAATAACAGGCCAGATTTCATTCCATTACCATACACTGCACTAGGAAGTAAAAACACGGAAATTCTTTTAAAAAGTTATTTCAAAAGTAGAATGGAATTTTTGCTAGCAGTGTACTGTAATTGAATGTTTCATTAAATTATTAGCACAATGAATAAATCAGTGATTTTGGATTGACAAAGTAAATTTAATTCTATGGTAATCAACTTAGAAGATGTTCTTCTTTGAGTTTTGTCAAAAGTTTAGATCTTTATCCCAATTTGCACCATACATTGTGCTAGTAATTGCAGACAACGCTGTAACTCAAGCAATTTATCCAGCTCGTTACTGTGTAACTAATGTATATTTTTTTCTTTTACAGAAAAAGCGTCTCGAGGAGGTAAAGTAACGACGGATCAACTATCGTCTAAGGACGATTTGCACACCATACGTATACTTTTCACTTTGATTTAACACACACATACACACAGATATGTATAGATACACACACACCCACACACACATAAACACACACACACACACATACGCGCAGATAATTATAGATAGACACAAAAAGAAAAACTTTACACCATTTCAGAAACACACAAAATAAGACCCAACACATACATACAAATACATACAATTCCTCAAATATCTCAAACGCTTAATAAGTAAATGTACACACAATAGGTACAATATACACATAAAAATAGATTCAAGTTTAGGTACATACATCTACATATATACACCACATATAGGTACATGCATATATACAGACAGCCATAGAAACATACGCATCCTTACAATGTTCTCAAACATTATTCAAACACAAACAAATTCAAATTACACGCAGAAACACTAACATTTAGGTGAGTTGTAAGTACACTGGTTACCAATGTCCACTGTCTCCAGGCGAAGAAGGCCAAACAGGCCGAGATCGACCGCAAGCGCGCTGAGGTGCGCAAGCGTATGGAGGAGGCCTCCAAAGCCAAGAAGGCGAAGAAGGGTTTCATGACACCTGAGAGGAAGAAGAAGCTCAGGGTAAGTAACCATTACACTGACACCATCTATCTCCAAAATAGCAGAATCAGTATACTCAGTCCCTGCTCCAACCATCCTACAGTTGCTGCTGCGTAAGAAAGCCGCCGAGGAACTGAAAAAGGAGCAGGAACGCAAAGCGGCCGAGAGGAGGCGCATCATTGAGGAGAGGTGCGGTAAACCCAAGAACGTTGAAGATGCAAACGAAGGTAAATACCTGTTCAACCCCCGCCACATCTTAGACACCCCTATTCTAGTATTAAAACATTCTTCACATGTTATCTTATAGCCAACAAGTGGACATATGTAAAGAACCCATAGAATATACCATCACACACTTCACAACACGACCGTGTTCATGTTCGTGTTTCTCTCACATAGGGCACCACCATAAGCTACATATGTACATGTATTATGTCGAATTATAGATGCGCTTGTGAGGGTTTGCAAAGAATACCACACCCGCATCGGACAGCTCGAAGATGAGAAGTTCGATCTGGAATACATCGTTAAAAGAAAAGATATGGAGGTAGAGAGATGAGCTGCTGTCAACGAGCAGCTCTCTTGTGTCGACTTACAAAACTTACAAACACTTTACTTCATATTAAAATGATTAACGTAACTTGTGATATGTCAAGTGGCGTGTTGTTCTTACTTCGTCAGCTGGTTTAACAAAGACTTTAACGGTGTGTCGGCCGTCAATCTCAGGCCTATCTGTCTAACGCGTTTCTCTACTTCTTCTAAACTTCATTTGATATCGTTGATCTGATCTGCGTATACTCACTACCTTCTATATTTCCGTCTTTAAATTTCTTCCACTTACACTTGGCTAACTGATGGTCGATGGCGCGGACGCCACCCCGGCGGTAGGCGCGGAGTGCGGGTGTACAGCCGCGTACAACCCTCGGTACAGTTGCGAACAGCGCGAGTAACTCTTGGTTGATGTTGTAGCGGCTCTCACGAGCATCATAACCGGTTACCATCAGCGTATCATCAAGCTAGAAGAGGAGAAGTACGATCACGAGATGGAGGTCGCCCGCCGAGCGCTCGAGGTCTGACCTGGTTTGGGAGCCACGCAATTTATATTACGCTCTCGTTTGAGTAGTTCATGCCGATAATGTGACTAGATTTAAATATTGTTTTGTTTTCGCAGCAATATCATAATTGTCGATTTACGGAGCTGAAAATAAATTATACCTTTCAACCTTAACCGTGTGGATAACAAAGTAAATTAAAAAACGCTGAAATAACAACGACCCGTTGTAGCACATTCCGAAGCTGCAATAGATTCTGTAGATACTCTCATCGAGTTTTGAGTCAATAACAACATTGATTATGTTTCAGTAATAGTCCATTTGATACCCACCTCAATACTGATCATGTAGCTTCGCTTACGCTTTGATTCCACCAATCGAAGGTCCCCATGTTGAGTCCACTACACAGCATCAACACAGATACGTGAGACAGACTTCGAAGCGACGAAAATTATTCAAAACTTAAAATGTGATTGTTTTTCTTTAGCGGAACTCCAGACCATTTGTCAAATGTACTGGCACAGAATATACAACCTTGAGGGGGATAAATATGAACTAGAACGAGCGATCGAAATTAGGAAAATGGAGGTAAACTACATAAATTAGGAATTGGGAATGCATATGACATGATATGAGTTGATTCTGATTTAGTTGTTACGACATGACATGATAGTTGTACGGCTCACCGCACACATGCACACGTCGCTCCACGTCGTCAGGTCACTCACACCGATGCCCATGCTCATTCTGCTGGCTCAATAATATGTCTTTCCTTTTTCTATAGCAATGCTCAAGAGAATAATACAGGAGTATTATGACCGCATGTATGTGTGTGAGGGCCAGAAGTGGGATTTGGAACATGAAGTCAGGAAAAGAGATTATGAGGTATTGACCAATACTTTATAACCATTGTGAATATCACAGTCATCGATTCTGTAACAAACGTGCGCGTGTGACAGTTCGTGTTTATACATTGATAACGCTTTGTAAGTTTTCGGTTGTTTGTTGTTGAGTTGTAAATAACGGTCGAAGGCCGGTTCGTTAGTGGTGTACTTGTAGAGCGCGTGTGATGTGTCGTAGTGGGGAGGGAAGCGCGGGGCTGCGCGGGCGCACTCGCCCCGCCCATGGCAGGCGTGCGGTGCAAAATCGATCTCCGCCGATCGCGTCATCTGACATGGAGCTTACACCATTAACTACACTAACTACAGTAACCGCCACCGGCGTAACAGTAACACTGCACTCACTACTGGCGCAGGGCCCGGCGCCTCGCCGCTGCATGCCCGCGTAACTATCACCTCTATGTATTACTTGTTTTATGTATCTGTACTCGGCTCAGTACCGCGGTCACGTCTACGTCTGTCCTGACAAACTCTATGTCTATATGTATCGTCTATATAATATATTGATGTTTCGTGTCGGTCATCTGTCGATGTGCTTCTCATCTTCATCCTTACCGAAATCATCTCGTCACCAAACCGCTTACCAGCTAAAGCTTCTGCCTGTTGCATGACAACTATATATAATATTATAATTATAATTATATTATAACAAATATCCCTAAAATACCCTATTAAATCATATCTAAAATAGTATGGCACTTTGATAATAATAATTTAAAAGTGTTCAAGTACCTACATAATCAAGCATAATAAAATGATACTAGCTGCATCCGCCAGTGTGTCGCTTCATGTGTGGTGGCGAGCTTAGAGGCCTTACTGAATTTTCTCTTTTTATGATAACAATGATACCGTTGAGGTGTAATTGGAACGCTGGACTGGTTCCTCTATTGGCACACGCAAGTGCATAGTGTAAGTGAAACTTCTTGTTCCAAATCTCCAACTTTTCACGTATGTGCCGTAATATTTCGCGCGACATGTTTGCGTGTTCGGTTGCTGAACTACCCCACAAACCTTTTGCAATAGCTGTATACACCGAGTGTTAAATTGAAAGTGCCATGCTCTGGTCGATGTTGCCCGCCCCCTCCCTGCGCCCGAGCCGAGCGTATCGGCCGCTCGGAACGTTTGCATCACTATCCGGGACACGGAGTGGTATACTATGCTCACTTGCGAGTCCAAAGACACACAGTACCCACATCTGTATCTACATACATACCCACATTTGCAAGTCTGGATCGATTTTGCACCGTCACTCCATGATACACATTATCTGCAACGTGGTACTCATACATCGCCGATGTATACAGAATTGATTCTATCGCAACATACATATATATATATATATAATTAACTCGCATCACGACAAGCGCTCAATATGTTACAACTTCGATCACTGACTAGACTAGTAGAAGCACTGTTGACTCTAGACGACGCGCGACGCACGATCTGATCGCGGCCGAAGCAGTACAATATTGTTAGCGCCCGTGTTATATGTTGCACATGTATTATATTCTGCACATGTCTATGTACATTTGTGAATAAATCTAGTTGTTGAGGCACAGGAGCTGCAGGCGGCCAGCTACCAATCACGAGGCACGATAAGTAGATCTCTTGCACGAATATTGTCAGATGTACCTAGTATAGCCCACGTTCACTAGTGTATTGTTTAGGTAAAGAGCACAGGTTTAAGATATATAGGAGGTCACAGCCGGGATACAAGAAATATGTTCCTACAGACCACAGATTTTAAGACAATACTTCAGCTCGCAAATAACACTGCCTAATCTTGCTCAGCTCTATATCTTGTTCTGTGCTTTTCTAGTATTAATATTTCGATTTCTTTTTCATTTAATCTATGTTATGATTGTTGATTTTTTGGGAATTTTGAGAGTTTGAGCTTCAACAAGACAAGTCTAATTTTCTATGTGCATTGCATGATTGAATAAGACGTTGCACAAGTTTGAACCTTATGTTTGGAGTGCGTCAATACTTAATTGATTAATGTACACACATTTGTTATTACAGTGCTTTTGACACAAACTTGTGAAATGATTTGATGAAATTATTTCACTAGTAGTCGGCATTGTTGCTTTGTAATAGTCAGTTCGTATCTACATACTTATTTACATTTGTAATATGCTCTGTCTATCTATTTAATTATATTCTTATTTACTCTATCATATTTATTTTCATTACAATACGACTAATGTATTTGGTTCGAATCCTTCCCTTACCTGGAATGAAAATTTAAGCATTTATATTAAGGTTTTGTAGTCAGAATAACATTTCCTTACGATTTTTCTATATTTGCTTTTATTTTATTAACTTGGCCATTTATATTGGATCGGAGTCTAAGACTATGTTTATTTTAACAGATCTCGGACCTGAACTCTCAAGTCAACGACCTTAGAGGCAAATTGTGAGTACCTCTACCTCTTTTTTCTTTATTTACACTTATTAACTAATTGATAATTTTGATTACCAACTTCGATCTTTCCTTTGGTTATGTGCAATTTTATAAACAGTCATAAAACTACATCCATTTACATATTTTTAATTTATATTAGTTCATGTATGATAGCTTGTACATACATATGTTCAGACGGTGGACAATATTTAGAGAGCACGTAACGAGAGCCACCGCGATTCTCTTTGTTACGGTCACATTGTTATAGTACCACGCTATTAAATATGAACACATTTCTCAAATACAAAGGACTTTGGGTTATAAATTCTAACTCACTAGGTATAAAGTTGATAACCAAGCAGTTTTATGAGATAAACTTGTGATTTCAAATTTAATGCATAAACATAATACCATAAATGTTCTTATTAAACAATAAGCAAACGGTCTTATAAATAACACTGATAAAATTGTGAAAAATATTCATGTAAATTATTTTACTCCAGCGTCAAACCCACACTAAAGAAGGTGTCCAAATACGAGAACAAATTCGCCAAGCTCCAGAAAAAGGCGGCCGAGTTCAACTTCCGTAACCAGTTGAAGGTCGTCAAAAAGAAGGAATTCACCCTTGAAGAAGAAGACAAAGAGGTAATTGACAGTAATCATATTTACATACTTCTAGAAGATAATCTTGGTAATTTAGGTGACCACTATAATGACAAAGAACTTATTGTACTTTTGTATTTCATAGCTAATATTGTAGATGGGTTTGATTATAATAACGAGGTAGTTAAAGCCGTAGAGGCTGATGTATATGTGGAAGAAGAAACTAAAACTATTGCTACTGAAATTCTGAAATGAAATAACCTTTTTAGAAAATACGTATTCCAAAAATATAGAACTGATCTAGTAAGCCTGATTTACCTACAAATGACAACTAAACACGAATTCTTTCTACACTTGATACAATCATTTGCTATATTGTGTTATTTTTGATAAAATTTTTCACTTTTCTAAAATTACGATGATAAAAAGATATCAATCGTTCTCTCTAACAATCTATTACTCGTAGTTTATTGGCTTCACTACTTTCTTCGTCTTTTTCTTTCTTTTTATCTTTGAACTAAACTTCAGTAATTATTCTTCAATAATTTTCTATTTCAATTTTCTTTAATTCATTAACTTCATCGTTTTGAGTTGCTTCTACTACATCTTGTTCATGGGTTCGAATCCCAGTACTATCTGAGTATCTTAAATGCTTTTATTTTAGTAGATGTGATGTTTAATAACTAGCATCATTGACCTAATCATCTTCTACAGGCCAAGAAAGCGGAGAAAGCTGATTGGGCTATTGGAAAGAAGTAGACCATGTACTAAAACTAACAGTCAATTTCTTACAATCATTCTCTGCTGTTGAACAAATGATGACTTATTTTTTAATTACCCATTAATTTAATATAAAATAAATCATTCTTTTCTACGATAAATCTTTTGAATTCCGTAAAACATCCAAACCTGACAAAACAAGGTGAGAAAGAGTTTGGATGACGCGTTAAATACAGCTTCAACTTTTGTTTAGATGTGACTTGCAATCTTGTTATTAACATTTTAATTTAATTTCTCCCCGACCAAAGGCTTACGCTCTACATTTTAACTATAAAGAGTTAATCTCTTTATTCCGGTACTCCTTGCAAAGCTTCGCCGCTCCTCTGTTGTAGGAATCTAAATTAAATACCAAAAGCTTTATCTTCAATTTCTTTAGTGACTAACTCTTTCACATAAATCTGCAAGTAGGTCTTTTAAAATTTTGTGTAATTTGTGTACAAGATCTTCAATTAATTGTCAACATTATCTACACTTACACTCAGGACATGATAGACACTGGCATTGTTCCTACATACCGTTAACATACCCAACCATTGTACTCTAACCGGTACGTACACCTCTCAGCAAACTTCCAATATCCAAAAATTGTAGCAATTTTTCGCAAATTAAAAACTAATACTTAGAGAAAAATTTCATTGAAACTTAATGAAGGGCTAGCAGTAAATAAAATTAGATAAAACTTGGTCCATATAGAGGTAATCAAAGTAGAATAGAAACGAAAATAATATTGTTACAATATCATGATGCGATGTTTCACAGGGTGGCGCTGCAGCCAAGGTAAATAGAAAGTAAAGCGACAACGCGTACAGACACGTTTTAATTTAGACGCTGCTCATACACGCGGCATGTTATATTTTCAGCACAGCTATGAGATGTACCGTTAGAGTGGCTACAATTACCTAGTTTATTTTTTCACTGAAGCTGAAGATCTTTGCCAATTCAAACACATTAACGATTGGCATCAATTCGTATTGTATATTTCATCCGTCCACCTGTGTTCAAGGGCGTGTTATTGAAGTTTGTCTCTCGTTAGTTCTCCTTATTGATTTAGTTTGTCTGAAGGAGAAATAATGAGGACAGTTGCGATTACGCTGCATTTTGGCCCCTTAGCAGATTTATTGTATAAAGCTTTGTGTGATACCAACATGCGTTCCACAGTGCAGACACCCCACACCTGTATAAAGCGGTTATTTTAGGTTGCTCCACAAAACGCTTCGGTTTTCATAGCAATGTTTTCTTAGATGTGTTATACCTTCGAAGCTTTAAAGTGTGTGCTTTATACAATTACAATTTGCGAATAGTAGGTACGCCTGCAATTCGCGAACCTATTGTTACACCATACTATATGCCGTTATGAAGCGTGATACCAATTTATCGCTCGTACATTCGGCGTATGGTGCGGTGAGTCTGCCGATAAACGAGCACAATCGAAAGCTTATACCAAGAACCGTGTGAATTTTATTTGAAAAAGCGAAAATTTTCATTGAAAATAAAAATAGCTCCACACATTGCCTTGGTATTATTACAGCAGCATCTGTATATATTTTACGAGACCTGCTTCTATTGTATCGCAGGCGTATTTAGGAATATAGCCGCGATGCGCTATCGGCTTCCAAGTGATTTAAGAAAGGAATATTATTTAACGGACTCCTTTTTGTGTTCACAGAAAAAACCAGACTGGTCCAAGGGCAAGCCAGGAGATCAGAAGGTAAAAGAGGAAGAGGTTGAGGCATGAACTGTAACTCACCCCCACCTACTGTAAGACCTGTACTCTAAGTCAATTGACAATTGTTATTAACTATCAGCACATTGTGATATACCTACCTTCCAAGGTCCGTCCGTGCACTACGGACGCAATCACCCTGTAGGTATCTACCAACAAGTTCCTCCATTTGTTATCTGTGTACTTGTCGATTGAACACATCCATTTCGAACATGTCAAATAATTTTTTATAATTATTTATTTATTAAATAATGATTTTTTGTAAGATAATACGTTTAATAAATTAATTTTCTGTACTGTATTACACTTAGTGGATGTCATTTGTGCCCCGTTTCCCTGTCCTTGTGTATACCTGTGTTAAACTTGCAAGTAAAGCAAGCAATGGTACTCAATTCAGAATTAGACGTAGGTCTAGTACCCAATACCCACGTATATTATGTGTGTTCCAATTATGTAGTTTCGTAAGAGCCCAACTATATGTTTTTGTTGTAATTCCTTATCATAATGTGTATTGTGTATTGATATGTATACATAAAATGTTGATTCACAAACAAAAATGCTGTGCTAACTGAAAGGAGTTTTAAAAAATAGGGAACTATGTTCATTTTTATAGAGGTAAAAGTAAGTATCAAATATGATACATCCATTAGAGGTATATTAAATAAATTTACTTTACTTGCGCTTAATGATGGGATTGTTATCTATACGTCACAAGGGAATTTTACTAATGTCGATTTTAGAAATGTTTCATTCCATATCCTCAAAAAGGTAATTTAATAAAGCTGTATAAAGTACTTTGTACAATGCAGCTTTCAAACGGACTTCTTAAGAATCCAATATAACGGCAGCCTTAGAAAACTGCAGTGTAAAATGAGAATTTCAATGGCACTGGAAATTCGCTTCTTTCTTGAAAAAGTTAATATGAAATGAACAGATTTTGCTCAAAAAGATTTCAGTGATGACAATCTGAATTTCTTAATATAATATTTGTATTGTAACTTTCGTGATCTAGTAGTCAAGTAATCAAGTATTTATTCGTGAGACATACTAAATAAATTATTATGTTTTCGGCTTACTCACGTAATGATTTGACGAGGAACTCGACTAGTTTCAAGCCTTGCTAGAGGCTCATATTCGCGTAATGCTCATGAATATGAGCCGTACATAATACCTAATTTATTTTTTCTTTATATAATCTTTATTTGTGATATAATCTTTTTTAAAATGATATTATTACTTTTATTTGAATATCATTAAGTAGGTTTTGTTTAATAAGTTTTTAATTAAATAAATATCTGAATAAATAAAAAAAACAATAACTAGCGTTCTTTTCACATTCAAAAATAGAATTATTATGCAGCGTATAATTTGAATCTCAGTGTTACCACCACATAAATTTAATATGGAGCGTATTTTTTAAATGGCTACACTTCATACGTTCATATCCCTTTCTGATCCTTAGAATTCCTGGAGTCCATTTAAATGGTGTTGTTTGGAAAAAGGTAGCATACTCTATGTTGTTTGAATTGTCTATGTAGATTAGATTACCTCCATAGACAATGTGATTGTTTTTTTTACCTGTGTTGTCCATGGAATGTGTGTGAAAATAGGCTGAACAGGTGAGTACTTGATGGAGCTTTCTACAAAACTTGGGTAAGTAAATGAAACTACTTTAAGAGTTTCCAATCAAGCTCACATCATTTACATTTTCTAACGATTTTCAGAGCGTTAACCTTAAAAATCTTTATTTATCACCTGAAAATTTCATAGTAGAAAATGAAAAGAAAATAAACACAGCCCAATAGTTTCTCCAATCAAAGTAAAAAAAACCCAAATAAAGGAGTTTAGGTTCCGTATCTTATCTTAAAAATAAAGACTCCCATGAGATGAAACCTTTATACTTCTTACCTTCTAACTTTGAATATGTGGGTACAGCCCATCAATATACCCCATTCTATTAATTTTATTCAACTTATTTGCAACCTTATTTACAAAGTGATAACGTCAAAAATGTACTAAAGAAATTCAGCAAGAGTAGGTTAACCTGCCGCCGTCAGTACCAGGGTCGCAGAGTCACGAACAGATCACAAACTTAGATTACACTGTCCGTTTCGATTTGCTATAATATGCGTGTAAACAACACATTATATGCAAATTTATGTTATATATTAGAGTATTATGGTTCAAATTACCTTGAAAGTGTTTTCAATTTCGAGAACTTTTCTTGCTTATTAATTTTCTATGAAAGTTATGTTTCTATCTACTAGATGGCACGACATGATACACAGGTAAAGTGTGTATGTTAACACTAGTTAAAAATTGTTTCTAACCATTTATGAGCTCTGAGTTTGAAATAAAGATTTACTATTCTATTCTAATAACAACAAAGAAGGAACAGTAATTCTAATCTTTTAAATTAAGGAATAAATGAATCTATGAAAGGTTTGGACAAATTTCTTCAATTAGTCTTGAAATTCTAAAGTAGAAAGACAGGTAGTTTTAGAGATACGTCTTCAAGAAACAGACATTCTCCTAAAAACATAATATATATTGTTCCTAATTAAAATAATACTTACAAAATTATAGTTCAAAAGTATCAATAATTTGGTTTTAAACTCAAAACGAAATAAATGTACCTTCGTATTTTAAAACCCTTCCCGGCCTCGGCATCACAATCAAAGAGTTGGAAACTAAGTCCTGTGTCTACTTCATACGCAGCTGTTTGTTTCTTCAAGTTCGAATCCTTTCGGTAAGACTCGAAAACTCTCGGTACGCCACGAAAACTTTCTACGTACTACCAAGTCCCTGTCTTTGACTTATTTACGTAATTTGCAACTGTTTCTATACTTTATTTTGTTCATTATACTTGTGGTTGACGAAAGGTATATTTAGGTAAAGGTTTTGTATTTTAGATCAGTTGAGGTTTTAGTAAATTCAAGAGACTTGTGTTTGTAAGAATTTTGAAGTAACAAACTTTATTCTTTCTTTTCGACTTTTTCACCAACCTAGTCAAGGTTGAACTATTGAGTATTGTAGGTTAAAATAAGCTGAGACGCCATTTTAAAAGCAGCCTACGGTATGTAACGCGTAGTTTAAGAAACCATAGGTAATCTTTTGAACCTAATATTTATAAGTACTACAAAACTAAAGCTGTTCTGTTAAAAATATCTGAAAAAGGTGTATAAAATTAAATTACCTTTTATTAAAGTAATCAATATCAAGCCAAACTTAATTAGACAATGTAATATTGGCTCTTAAAAAGACACTAAATTAAAAAATTACACGAGTAGAATTCATTATGAAAACAAAATGAGCTTAACGAACACAAATTGCTTTTTATAAAAATCGTAATTACAACTGTCTCTGCCTAATAATAATTTCAGTATTCATTATGGATGTCATCAAATTAATGGAGACGAATAAACATTGAATTTTAATGACATGATCGTAATGAAAATACCGACATGTTTTTAGTTTTATGTCGTGATTTATTTGTACGACCATAATTATATATAGGTCATCGTAACGTTACGTGGGAACTCAGATAAATGTATCATTATATTTTGGGTGTGTTATGTTATGATTGTGGACAACAGCCGTTAAATTTTGTATTTTTGCTGATGACGTTATTCAGTAACCAATAATTGCCAACCGCACCTAGTGAAATATCAGGTTGATATCTAGTGACACAACGGAGTTTTTTTTTAAACATTGCTCCACATTAGGATTGTCTCCTATCTCGTGGATGCGTTTACAAACATACAAGTTCACATACACTTGATGTCCAGGCCCGAAACAACAATTTGTGTATCACACAAAGAATTGCTCCGTGCAGGAATCGAACCCGCACATTGCGCGGCAGCCGGTTACCCGGCCGCATCCGCCGCCGCAACAACCAACAACAACCTTTTGATTATATCAGAACTCAAAATGTATGTATATCAAAAATTTAAATTGGACTGGTCAAATGAACTAAAACCATATTTTGAGATAAAAAAACCTGTGTACATGTAACCTGAATTTAAAATTTAACATAACTATCTCGATTTATATTTTTATACAAATGGGAGAAGTTTATTATTAGGTAATCATTTTAAAAGTTAATACATAAGTAAGTACTACCTACATATTTATGTTACCCTTGATTGCACACACATGATTGTAAATAACACATTTCTACATTCAGCTTCATATATATTGCTTTGGAAATCATACGCTTCAACTCTCTAGGGTGTCATATTACTAAAATAATCGCAGCATTCAGTCTGCTTAAATATTCAGCATCATTTATCATTTTGTTTTCTACATTTTTATTTATCAGCTTTTCATATTATCATAGTATTACTAATAGAAGGTTTTGAACTTTGCTGAAGATTTTTACTGCAACCACAAAAATCGTACCAATGTATGTACAAAAAAGGTTCATAATGAAACTGACATCAATAAAAGAAGACAACGTTTGTAGACAACACAACATTAATAGCAGTGACGGCGAAACAATTAGTGCTATAGTAATAAATTGTGGTTACGGTGGCTTTTCTTGTCCACGCCTCATTAGTCATACCTGCTTTGAGAAATTCTACGCTTTGTAATAAATACATGGCTTTCTTCAGCATTAATATTTTTGGGAAAAGAAGTTATGAGTGATATATGATTGCAGGAAGGTGAAGCTGGAGCTGCTCCTGCAGAAGGGGCTCCAGCCGAGGGTGCACCGGCTGAGGGGGCTCCGGCAGAAGGAGCGCCAGCACCTGCAGAAGGAGCGCCACCCGCGGAAGGTGCTCCAGCAGCACCACCTGCGGAAGGAGCCCCTGCAGCACCACCAGCAGATGGAGCTGCTCCTGCTGCACCTGCAGAAGGTTCTTTACATTTTGATTTTAGACAAGGTTTTACGTGTTTGTGTAACAGGGCCCTTGGCTTAAACTTTACTGCCAAATTTTGCACTTCCATCTGTGTGATCTTAAAAAAAAATCCAAAATGCGAATTTCCACTAAGCGCTGCACTGCCAGAAGCTTCATCTGGAACTTATGCTTGCAACATTTAAAGAAAGCAATTATTATCTACAAGCACGTTTCTTACAACAGTATGGGCAGAATTCCAGACTATACTTGCAGGGCTGGTGCTGTTGGCGACTGTCCAAATGACTAGCAACAGAGCTGGAATTAATGTTCACGCCTGTACTGTATAAGTGGGCAAACAGATTAGTGACATTTACTTTGTTATAGGTTAACTGTTAATCGAACGGTTAAAAGTTATTAGGCGGATCTGCGTTCATAACCCAATGGGTATTTTGTCTTTCAGAAAAAGTTCTTTCTTTTTTTTATTTAGTTATACGGAGTTTTTAGGATTTATTCCGATGTATTGACTAGTTACTTGTCGAAATTAAAACGGAAACTAGAGACACGATATTTTATTTTCATTGATGTCTACACCTATTCCTAAAGAGAGATATTGTAGAATAGATATCTTATTTGCTACCATGACAAATAGAAATATAGCTATTATACAGTGAAAACTAAAGACAGAGGGAATGCTATAGGTCTACGAAGAACTTAATATTTTTTTTTTTAAAAAGACACATTAATGCACACATTAATGTACAAGGTGGGCTTAATGCCTAGGGCATTCTCCTCCAGCCATACCTTTGGGTGATGCAGAGACAAAAACAACATATTTATGATGAAGGTAATATTTAAGAGTCGATAAAATAATGTATTTATACAGGAGCGCCTGCAGCACCTGCAGCAGCACCAGCCGCACCTGCGGAAGGTGCACCAGCCCCCGCCCCACCAGCAGAAGGTAGGGACGGGCACACATTTTTTTTAAATAACATAACATCGCGCCATTTATTCCCGAAGGGGTGGGCAGAGGAGCACATTACAGCACTTAATGCTACTGTGCAATATAACACCCACTTTTCACTATTTATATTACGAGTCCCATGTAATAGTGGGTATTGATTGCCATATACCGGGCACAATTCCAGATTCCGTGCTAGTGCTGAGATTTAAATAAGTCCCTGTAATATTATGGTCGACTCGGGAATCGAACCCGCAACACCTTGCCCAGCAGTCGCACTTGCGACCACTCGGTCAATGAGACAGATTTTTTTTAATATTCATGGTTAAAGAAGTCAAGTACAGAATTACACGGTTGCTGTATCTTATATTACGTCTTGCATAGATTATTGGTAACACTAATACATATTGACGTTGCAGGCGCCCCAGCACCCGCACCTGCGCCTGCGCCGGCAGCGGATGCTGCTCCAGCTCCCGCCCCCGCACCTGCAGCAGAACCAGGTACAACCAATATATCGACTTTGAAAGAATTATTTTGAGTTTGATTATAAACTTAAATACCTACATTTTCTGTTTCAGCGCCTGCCCCAGCACCTGCGCCGGCGCCGGAGGCACCCGCTGCTGCTCCTCCACCAGTCGAAGGTATGTTCTCTTTGAGTATTTGTAAAGGAATTCTTTTATTTCTACAAAATTTTTTTTACTAATCAGTTTTTACTATAAAACAAAAAACAGAACGATTTTCATACAAAAGTAGTCTCTAAACATTGGAAATAAGGTCTATAATGTAGTTAGTGGAGAGCGGTCACCGGTGACCGCTTGGGGATATATAAGTTAAATTAAGAATTTAAAAAATCAGGAGTTTATTTTATTTTTACTTTTAATTATTCAGCCACGCTTACAATATTTAGACCATGTCATTGTTTTTTTTATGAGAATATCTGAATAACAACAAATTAATATTATATTTCAGCGTCCGCCTAAAGAGTGAAGAAGATGAAGACTACAATGGAGTCATAATTAAATTGTTGCATCACATATAAATGACAATCATTAAACAAAACTGCGTTATCCCGGCTGTAGCCTGGGCCCGCTTTTATACAGCCACCATTTATACAAATACATAAAAAATATATACAATTTAATATAAATATTTATTAATTTGTATCTCAATCTCAATATTACATGCACTACACAACGTCTTTGTTATTTTTATACTATTGTGTAGATAATTTTTGTATGATATTATAAAATAAAGGGAACGATGAAGAATTATCTACTTGTTTCATTTCAAAGAACTCTAACTCTCGTAAACAGTGCCTTTAGCCAAACGCCACTTTAGCGCTTGTCTACAGAGAGAGTAGACATCAAAATGTATGGGGATGACACTGACAAGTGTCAAAATTTACGTCAATTCCACATAATTTGGTTTTCTATTCTACATGTAGACAAGCGCTAAATGGCATTTGGCTACAGCTGCAGTTTTCATATATTTTTTTGCAAAAGGCGAAGGAATTCACGAAGAAAGGTTATTAAGATCATTGAAAAACACGATTGTAAAACAATAAATCTCCGTGATCAATCATATCAGTCCGATAGGTATCGTACCATCACAAAACATTTGTTAAGTAATGGATTTATGTTTGTTTTTTATTTCCATATTGTTTTCAAATATTGTTCGAATAAAAATTCTGACAGGCAAAATCCAACCATCAAAAAAACAATGTAGGTACAACACTAAAACAAAATTGAAGCCAATACAACAACTTAATCACAGACAAACTAATCCGAATATCCATCCCATACACAATTAACGAGTTCATTACATTTCTAGTTTTATTGTGAAAAGCCGAACTAAATTAGTCGGTCCAAAATAAGCCGGAGTCATAGAACGGACATGTGTTACAAGGGCGTAGTGGACCGTAATATCTCAACCCTTATTACGGGGGATACAGGACTCGGCAATTTGGACAACGCTTTGAGGTAGACTGCCCAGTGCTCCCTACAATGTAATGTGGGACTATTCCACTGAATTGCCCATTGAAGGGACTCCACTTGGAGATTACTCGGTATTCTTTGTAATTGATATGTTAGATTTACTTGTTTAATTAAAGTAAGATGGCCAATTTTACATGAAGCTTTGTTCCTTTTTCCAGTACAGAGGATAGAATAAAAGTGAAATTGGGTTATTCTATTTTGCTTTGGATTCGAATGCAACTAAACTTGTATTGCTGCTGTTTTCCAAATAATGTTTGATGAGTTTTATCTCTATTGGATAGAAATAAAGGATAACAAATGTTTCAGCAGAATAGAGGAAAAATGATGCCATGCAAATAACCAGAATAAACGGTTCGAATTAACCCGTTCCTCGCCAAAGATGACTCAATTTGACTTGTTATACCTTTCCCCCAAGTGTCATCTCTAGATATTAAGTCCTCATTCCGTATTCCAAGCAAAGACTGCCATTACCCGGATCAACGCTAACTTCTCTTGTCCAAAGTTCCTGTGTTCACATACCTAAGTATTTACGAAAAGGAACATTAAAAGGGTTCAAATTTCCGAGTGAAATCACCGGAGTGGAACGGCCTTAATAATTATCTCTCATTCGCTTTATCTTTAACCTTATGTAGGTAATTGATGGCCGCATTAAGTTTAATTAAAACGGGCTTACTCTTGCATTGTAGCCTGTAATTTTTATTTGGTAAACAAACAAAGTTTTGTGTTCTTTCATTTCGTTTATAACCTCACCTGTGTTTAAGTAAGTACATTACATTTATTTTCCAAGTTTTCTTGGTATATTTGAGTTTGTGCTTGGTGCACACGAAAGGGGAAAAGTTCTGAATTTTTGCCGCGCATGACAATGTAACAAATCATGCAAAAACATACATATGTAGGCGGCGCGGCACGCGAGCGTGACGTGATATGATCTCAGTAGAATCACGAGCAAATAAGCATTGAATTGTTATTTTTACTGAGATACTCGTGTTTTATTTGATATCGTAAAAATGTTATTCTTGCATGCTGATTTTATTATATATTCATGTATATTTTTGCGTTTATTCATAGTAAACATGTCTGGTTTTTGAAGTAAAGTTGCTATACCGAGTGGGATAAGCAGGTGTTACTTGCAATTAAGTTTATGTAATTGAATTTTTATTCTTGTTTCCATTGAGAATTCGCAGTTTCGGTTGGAGGATGCTACCTAATTCTGGAAGGCTGAGTTCATTGCTCAGAGTTTGTTATGAATATCTATCAATATTTGTTGCAATTATAAAATGAGATTAAAAAAAAAAATTAATTTCTACCTACTTATAATGATCTCATTATATATTACAATAGGTACTTTACATCATTACTTTAAAAGTGTTAACTGGAGGTGAAATATATGTACTTAGTTAATTTTTTCTTGGCCCCTTTCCAAAATCGTTAAGATTGGCATTTAATCTTAACTAGATTCCGAGGCACTGCTGGCCCAAATATAGCCCGTTTTATAAGATTTTCAGGCTTTGTGGAAGATAGAAAAATGAAATGTAGTTTGAACTACAAAAAAGTGTCGTAATAATTTTGAATAGGTTAGTTAAACCATACATAAAAACAAGTTTTGTAGCCATTTTACGAAAACCATAAATTAAGACTTTGACTGCCGATAAAAAACTGTTGAAGGTAAATCCTCCGCTAACGCCGGTCACCGGTGACCCCCATGGCGTTTAACGCGTTAAACAATATACCTCTAGGTACTTTAATGTTGAAATCTAAAGCATAAAAAAAACAATCTTTTGTAATAAAAATCATGTTTGGTACGAATTTGTGGTAGTAATTATAACTTTAAATATTTAATGTTCCAAAAATAAAAATTATTTAAAGCCTAACTAAAAATATACTAACAAACACGATAGGCCGCCATTTTCATGGTTGAAGCTGAAAATACAACGTTTAGAGCCCTTCGTAATGAAGGATCCTCACATACAAAGCATAAAGAAGTCTGTCCGTGTGACGTAGGAACGTGCCTCAATTTTTATGCTAATCATGTCCCACAGAATTGGGATTCTGGTATTCCAGATTTTTAATAAAACTCTATAAATTTTGGTCCCAAACGATGTAATACTCGTATATTATAATAAAAACTTCACTCTGAATTGAATGGATGAGTCGGGCATATTTTGTGATATTTTTGGGGAATCTGTGAAATAAAGGAACGTGAAAATTATGTTACATATTACTTAACAGAGCGAATGAACGAAAGAGGTTAAAAAATCAACGACCTAAAATAAATGATATCTGAAGATTTTGATTATAAGCTCTTTGCCAAAAACATACAATAGGGTAGATGCCTAATTTTGACTTTAATGTCCGTCGGGTAGATTATTTTAAACCATTAGACACATATTTTTTTATTTTCTTACGAAACTATATAATACTTTTGACGGTATATTGATTTGAAATGCCGTGTGACGTCACTTCTATGTACATTTTATACCTATAAATGACGTTTTACCCCACAACTAAACTTTGATTCCCTTTGTATTATTGTACGACAAAATAAAAAAAAATGTGTCTAATATTTTTCCATTACCTAACTTACGGACTAATTAGATTTTTAATTTTCATACTCTGTCATCATTCCAATTTTAGTGTCAAATCTATCATTCAGATTTTCGAAAATCAGTCTACTGTAGCTACTAGAAACTTTTAATCAACTAGGCCGATGTACATAGTATGTAAGTATATGAGATTATAGGTAGTCATAGATATATGATACGTAATTGATTTAACAAGAGTAATCAAATTAGCTAAATTAACATCAGACGTCAGTAATTATAATGTCACGAGATCACAAGTGTTGGTAGCTGTAGTATTAATTAACATATCAATCTAATGACAGACTAATTCAAGTACCAACACAAGATAGTAATTAGAAAACTAACGCGAACGTTCTTGATTGTATAGACTGCACATAAAACTACCCAAAATATAAAATTTCATTAATCGATTTTGAACCTTGTAGTTCAATAGCTATAAAGTGGAAAATCCTGTGCTCAGTTTAGTACATTCGCGTACAAAAGGGCTGGTTAAGGGTTGTTACCCCTGGGATCGGCAGGAGCTTGTTTGTAAAAGTGGCTCGCCAATGTATTATTAATGAACTGCTGAAAAGAGCACCTGTTCTATGAAGTTTTTTTATTTATTTATTGTGTATTCGATTGTATGTAGGTGCTTGGAAAGAAAATAAAGGCTTCAGTGTTATATGTTACATGCACATGCATACATGCGGTCCCGAAAAACGCCGATAGGTGATAGTAAAAAACAAGTTTTTATTTTAACTAAAAATCGCGGGTTACCCACGTGAATATACTGAGAAAAGCTCTACTAGTTTCGAACCATAGGGGGGTTCTTCCTCATGAGCGGCGTGCGCGGTCGCAGTGATGTCGCACAGCTTACTAGGCTGCCTACCGTAGGCTGCGCGACATTGCATCAGTATATTCACTTGAGTAACCCGCGATTTTTAGTTTATTTAGTAGGAATCCGAATATCTCACGATAAGTACGAAAGTATTATAAAAAAAAAGTTTTATTTTTTTTAAAGTAACGAATTAAGTGTTTTTTTATGTAATAATAGTTGTAATCAACTGCTCAAGGTTGATGTAACATGTATAATAAGAAAATAAAAACGATAAAAACTGTAAAAACTACTTTTTTTTTCTGCCTCTCGGGAGGGTTCCGTTTATACTCTATGGATCTTGTTATTTATTGATTTGATAGTAAATAAGAGAGATACGTTATATGTCTACTTTTTGGAATGAGCATCTAGCTTCACCTAGTTTCACTGACGGACTGACTGACAGACTATTATTTATTTTGTATTTGTAGACGTTTCAAAAGTACCAAACTATGGTTTAATTGAAATAAATGCTTTGACTTTGACCTTGACTTTGTCAAGGAGGGCTCTCTCCGCCAAGGTGGAGTTGTTGAAAAATCTAAAAAAAACATTCCTTTAATAAATGTACTTACGACTCATTATTCATACTCATGAATCAGCTATGGCTAGCCTTCACTTGTGCGATATCAGATAACCGAAAATTTCTCGCAAAAAAATGGTGGGGAATTTTTTTTATGAGATAAGCTGGTACACGGGCAGACGGATCACCTGATGGTAAGCAATCGGCGTCGCCCATGGACACCTAGAAGACCAAAGGCGTGTGTTACCGGCCTTTTGGGAATTAGGAGTTTGAGGATTGTGGGGGATTCGGGGATTGGGGAGACTGGGGAAGAGGTAATTGG